AATTAATGATGTGTCATGTCTTTGAAAAAAAAAAAGAAAAAAAAGAAGCTAATGGTATAGTTTTGACATGAGCCACGGGCTCCCAAAGTGTAGGGATACAAAATTTTGGAGAAGACCTAAATCAGGAAGCGCTGGGTGGGTCTCACACGCTAAGCAGGTACTATAATATATAATGATTAACACGATTCATGTGATAATGGAGCAGCGGACATATATCAAATTATCTCCATGATTATCAAACCAAATGCCATTGTCCTTGATCCACAAAACTTGAAAAAACAGGTTGGCATGTTCTCGAGTGCCCAAATTCTTTTTTTTGGGATGATTTTGGATTCTTATATCTTCCAAACATGGTTTTGTTGATTCTTTCATATATATATTTTAATTCAATTATTCATTTTCTTGAATGATGTAGTACTTGTAATAATAATAATTAATAAACTTATCATAATTGTGTGCCGCCTCTTCAAATGACGGTGGAATATTTCTATTAATTTTGATCGATAATGACAATTATATTGAATCTTAATGGGTTTAAAAGAAATTAATGAGATTTTAATTCATTCCAACCTGTTTTGTATCCAATAATTCAAGGAGCATTATGATGGGCCTTTTGAAAGCAGGCAATGGTTGTATTAGTTTTTTTTTTTTTTTTTAATACTAAAAATATTATAATATACCATTAAAATAAGTATTTTAAATTTATATAAGATTAATATAAACTTACTTACGAGCCAGGTTACCCACTCGATCTACAAGTTTAGTAGGATTATAATTCAACCTGTGACATGAATTTTTGAATTTAAGCTTGATTGGCATGGAATGTTCAAGTTTTTATAAAAATATTATTTAATTTAACTTCAATTTTAAAATATATTTAAAACTTTAAAATATTTATATTTAAATTTTTTAATATTTTAATAAATTTAAAAAATTTGGATTCATGAGCCATGCTTTTAGAAGATTGATCGAATTTATGGATATCATGGACGATTTAAGATTTATATTCATTAGGAGATAATTTATTATATTAACTACTAATATATTGGTATAATATTTTATATTTATATTATTGAACCATTAATTTACTCAAAATTATTATTTTTAATCACATTTATATACTTTTCAATATTAATAAATACTATACACTTCAGTATTTCTTTATAATTAATGAAGTATAAAACAAAAATATATATTTATAATAATTTTTTTAATATTTTAATGAAGTGCAAAATACAAAAATCATTAAAATTTTGATTAACTTAATAATAATTAAAATTAATTTCAAGATTTCAACGATTAGTAGCTTATCCCTGTTGCACCATTGATATAACGTCAAAATGTTTTATAATACGATAACAATACCCTTTTCACTTGCATTCATTGAAACCAAAACAATGCATGTTTTGAAATACTTTGAGCGGTATGGTATTGAGTAGAAATTATAAGGATGAAATTTTTTTTTGAGAAATCCAAAAATTAATTTGAAATCATAATGTTTGGATCGATTTTTTTTTTTATTTTGTTTAGATTAAATTTGAATATTAAATATATATATATTAAATTTAAATCAAATATTAGATCAAGATTAAAAAATTTAAAAAATAAAATAAAATTATATATATTTTAAAGTTTTATAAAATAAAAATAATAATTTTATATTAAAATTTACTTAAATATATTAAAATTTTATATTAAAATAATATATACAAATTAAAAAATTTAAAATTTATAAACTAAATTGAATTAATAAAATTTAATTTGATATAAAAATTTGATTCATTTCAAATTAGAATTATATTTTAATATTTTATAACATTATATAATATCTGAAAAACTTAAACTAAATTCGATTTAAACTGTTGTCGTCCTTACAAATTTGAAAGCAGCCACAAAAACAAAAGCATTGTCTTCTTTTTGGTACTTATAGCCATATTTAGGAAGCAAGCTATACGATGCAGCTTCTAGCACATTTTTAGGCCTAGCAAACCGACTTCTTATTACTGTGAACTATTGTGAGCGAAACACTTCTTATTACCGTGAACTATGAGCGCGAAACAACGAGAAAGAGGCAAACAAACAAAAGAAAAGAAAAGGCAAAACGTAAAAGAGAAGCGACGACGGTTAAAGATTAAAAAAAGATGGGTCACGAAAGTGACGGCCGAATGGATACATGTTCATTGCAATATTCATGAATTAAGAGAAAAAAAAAGAAAAATCTCCTTTTAAAAGGAAACATGTTGATTGCAATGATTTCCAACTACTACAACTGGTATTAAATTAAAATTAAGATAAGATTGAAATTTTCTATCAGTTAGGAGTAAAAAAATTGAATAAATAAAAAATTAATTAAAAAATATAATTTAATTTGGATTTATATCAAATTTTATAGTTTTATAAAATTATATAATATTTAAAAAAATTGAATCGAATTCGATATCATTTTAATCGTTATTACTTCCAATATCGATAACATTTAAATTAATATATTATCAATATTTACACATAATTGTCCATAGAATATAAAAGAGAATCAAATCAAACATACAACATTTTTTATTTTACATTTTTTTGGTTTTTTTTTTCAAAATCTTATTCTAGCATCCGTTTCTTCCTCCCTAATAATTTAATGTAGGTGTTAGAACCGTTTCGAAATATTATTCTTGGTGTATTTTGAACTTTTCTTTTATGATATATTCTCCAATGCAACTTGCAGCAAACTTATTTCTCATCAAATTACATCAATAAAATTTCTTCTTAAACTTCCTAAAATTAATAGAGTTAATGTAATAAATATTTTTTAAATTATAATAAAATACATTTAACGTGATATATAAATTTTAAAAATATTTATTATGATACATGTAATATAAATTTATTAACTAATTAGATACTCATTTTGAACATGATTAATTGATGACACATAATAAATATATTGGATTAAAGCTCAATTGGTTAAAAATACCAACAATTGTTTAGATTATTTGGTTAAGATTAGTCATTCTCGATGAATAAGTCTTGAATTCAAATTTTGTCGATAATTATTTTGTGAAATCATTTCGAATATATGACTTATAATTATCTATTTTAAATTATTAAATACGACATATTCTATCATAATACGAGAAATTGAATTATTTATTTATTTTGATTTTTATTTAAAAAAGTTAAATAATTCTTTAAATATCATATTAAATATTTAAACATTTTTAATATCATATTTTATTATAATTTAAAAATTATTTATGATATTAATCCAAAATTATGTACAAACTCTACAGGAAAGAAAAATTTGTAAATTGTTTTAAATATCAATAGAAGCTATCAAAATTGAATAGTGTGAATCTAACGGGGTAGCTGCTTCTCTTTACACAAAAAGGCCCCGACACAGATACTCTCTCATCCCGTACCCGTTGGGCATAATGTGACAATGGAGAGGGAGGCGTGAGTCTCATGAGAAGTGTTCAGTTTCAGTATTTCAGACTTTCGGTTCACCGAAAGTGGGACCCACGAAGTTAACACTACCAAACTTTTCAATTGTTCAGTTCAGCTAAACTTACGACAGACTTTCGGGACTGAAAGAGTTCGTAAAAAGGACGAAAAACTGAAACGAAACGTTGAACTCCAAGCACTGACAAATGCGCGTGCGGATTTGGAACATGCTTCGGTTTTCCTGCCAAAGATAAGAGTACTATTTATTGGTTTAAATACATTAAATTATTGGTATAAATACATTGAATGAATTCAATTAGTTTATTGTCTAGCTGAATTCAAATTATTTAAATAAAATTGAATTTAAATAATTTAATACTTGATTTAATTAAGTATTTATTTATAATATATAAAAATTTATAATAAAATATAATATTTAATATTAATATTCATAATTTTATCAAATTTAATTAAATTTGAACGATTTAAATAAATTATAAATAAAATTTAAAATAAAAATAAAAATTCAATGAAAATTTAAAATTTTGAATACATCAAGAACTCGAATGTAATGATGCTCACGCAAGGCCAAAGAACTAAGCAATGGATAATCAGTTCTTAAAGGCGCGTGACATGTACTGAAGTCTGAAGCTGCGAAAATTTACAGTCTGACAAAATTTTTTGATTCAGATATGACTGTAAGATGCTGCCAAAAAAGTAATAATAATGTTCACTTATTCAGTTTCGTTTCGTCACCCTCCTAACCAACTACGCCATCCCATTGCTTTTTAAGTTAAAAATTTTCCTGATGCTTTTACCTACTCATACCAAATGAATTGAATTGCCTTCCCGCTCCCGCCCTTTCTTTATTTACGGGAGTCAGTAAATTTTTTTTTTACTTTTCCATGGCCAGTGGGGTTGGAAAAGTAAAGGATTCCAGAAATAATCAGTCATCATTTTGTAGTATACACAACGTAGAATTAAAATTTGCAATTCGTATATTTGTATAATATAAAATATTAAAAATTATATATTTATATTATATTTTACATAAAAATTACATATCAAACGAAAAAACATAAAATATATTTTTTAAAATTTGTTAAATATATAAAAATATTGTTAATATTTTAAATTATATTATTTTTATATTTTTTTATATCGTATCATGTTATTGTTAACTCTTTCGAAAACCATTCAAGATTGCTGCGGCTAGTTTGGTTGGGCTTTCAACTACAGTACTAGAACCTTGGGCTAAGCCCACTCTAAAATCTGGGCTCAATTTCTTCCAAATACCCAACCCAAAGGGAAAGAGGATGAGATTGAGAAGATGCAGGTTGGAGGGGTAATCCCTGAAAGGACCAAAAGGAATTTAATTGAACCTCGAAGGAAATTTATGTCTTCTTTGGCCTGTACTTGCAAGGGCATTGAAGTCATGAATCCCAGAATGAGCTGAAACTCAATGAAGTTTATTAACCAAAGGAAGGAACAAAGCTGATAGATTACCTCAATAAGCTCACAGATGCTCTGGTAAGAATTGCCAAATAAGTTGTGTAAACCAAGATTAAGAGATCCTATCTTCCCACAACACATTGAAGCAAAGGGAGAAATGATTTCTGGGTTTAAGTTTCTTTTCACATTGCTAGCCCATGTGAAGCTTCACTTCTTAACAGCATTACTTCCATATTTAGGACTGAAATGAGGTACCAGGCAAGAGCATTTCAGTTCTTAAGCTTTTCTTTTATTTATGAAAACCAGATGCAGTTCTCAAAATTTTGGAGATTCTGATTTTATTGTAATATCACATAATGAATTGCTAAACTCGTAGTTTTATTTTTTAATTTCTTCTGAATCCTTACGAACCTAGCAGAGAAAGTTCAAGACTTTACTCCTCAGTGACAGTGTTGATCAATGGATAGCCGTATCTTTCTGTTTATAACCTACAGACTTGTTAATTCTTTCTTGCATTTCTTCCAGTCAAGTTGACACAAACCAAACGGAGAATTACAGAAAATTTCCATCTTGTACTCACATGCTTATGCATCAACCTTGAACAAAAGGAAAACATTTTATTGCAGCATTCTGACATAATATGTTGACATGATCAATCATTTAAAACCTAACAAAATTTTGCAGTCAGATAATTAAGCAGCATTCAGACACAATATCTTGACATCTCAAATAAACCACGACCAGACACTAAAGGCGTCAAAAATTTTGTTAACAAGTATTAGATGATAGATTCAAAGACATCCAATATACAATTAAGTACATAGGCATGCATATATATAATAATGAAAAACAAGGAAAATCAGGGATTAGACAAACTTGAGAAAAAAATCTAACCTCTCCTCCCTCCCACTATGCAGGAACAGCCTCGACAAGTCTTGCAAAGTAGAATTGTGTAGTGATTAGCCCTCTCTTTCTTATTTTCCACCCAACCTTACTCAGTGCCCTTTCCACATCTGCCTCTGCATGAAGATATGCCCTAGTTGCCTTCGATGGCCCTGGAAACAACTCTCCAATCCTTTTTAACAGATCATAGTAAAATGTCTTTGGTGCAAAGCTCAAAATTAATCGGTTTTCAGCTAGTGAAGCAAGGTGTGCAATCATCCCATCAGCTTTACTCTGCGGATAATGTATTAAAACATCTAAGCACACCACAGTATCATATTTCCCATCTAAACTCTCCAAATCTTTCACTTCAAATTTTGGCATGGCCGGTGCAATTTCGCCATTCCCTGCTGCTAACTGCTCTTTCGCCTGCATCATATTATTACACAATTCAGGCTCCCAATTCGCAATCAAAACATTATTTGCAATTATTATTGTATTTTAGCTCGATTGATTCGTTCACCCACATTGAAGAGGTGACATCCAGTAGCTACGAGATTCAAATTCAAAATTTTGAAAAAAAAAAGGTAGAATTTTTGCATTTATTCGTTCAAATAAACACTTAGTTTGAATTATCCACTAAACATTCATACTTGAGATTCCATAATACGAGCAATTCTGAGATAAGACTCGTAACCAAACAACAAAATTCCGCCATTTTTGTTCAAAAAACGGTTATGACAGTTGACTAAAGAGGAAAATCTAACTAACCTGCTTCTCAGCCTCGGCCACCATGGCAGCGGAAATATCGCTAGCCGAAACAACCGCCCCTTCTTTCGCTAAAGGAATCGTGAGACAGCCGGTCCCACACCCGGCATCGCAAACAGTCACACCTGTCAGTGGGCCTTCATTAGTCAACATTTTCATCGTATTTTCAACGGTCTTCGAGTGCCCTAGCCTAATATCAAGCTGGACCTTATTCACATCATCGGTCTCTCCATAAATCTTTTTCCATCTCTGGAAACCGGAATTGTCAAAGTAATTTCTTACGACTTCTTTGTCACCGCCACCGACTTCTTCGGCCTGGAGGCGACGTCGGCGTTCGGGATCAGTGAGGGATAGAACGGCCGCTAAAGCGGCGACGGAACCTCCGCCTATTAGAGCAATGGTGGTACCGTTCACGGCGGAGAGGTCAGCAGCTGAGGCGGCGGTGGAAAGAGGGGGAATGGAGTTGGTTTTAAACGGCGCCGTTTTGTGTTTGCTGAGGAGTTTTGGAGGGAACGTGGAGGAGAATCTGGAATTGGTGTGCAAAGGAATGTGGGAAGATAGAGCCGCCGTGTATGCCATTTTCTTTGACTGAATTATTTATTTTTCCTTTTCTTCTGCCCTGATTTCCTCGATTTCTCTCTCCGGCCGGTGAGGGGATGTTGGCTACGTGTCAACTATGAAGGTGGTTGATGAAGATTTTGATAAATTTTTTATCTTGTGGATAGGATAGAGCTGATTCCCCTTGATTTCCGTGGGGTCCCATTTGTCTTAAGGCGTGTTTGCTTCCGAAATTTTATAAACAATATTTTTTATTCTCTCGAAGCAGTAAAAATCCAGACTACAGTCCACATTGCATTGACGTCGCGCCAAACAGACTTCAAAACGTACAAACGTGGCGAGCAACGATTGGAAGTGAAACCAAATGACCGTTCTGAACTGACAGCGAGAAAACCGGAAACGAATTTTCAAAAGAGAAAACAAAGAATCACCGACTCAATGACTCACTGTTAAACCGGAGATGAAGAAAGTTTAAGACTTGAGAGTATAGATAAGCTCAAACAGTTCGTTGAAGTTTCTCAAAACCAAGAACTGTTCTTTGTCTTATTCAAGAAACGTTTTATTCAAGAAACGTTTCTTTTATTAAGCGTTTTTAATTTTCATTCATTTCTTCGAAAGCGACCTGTTTTGTTTGCTCTAAGCAAATAAGTAGACCGTAAGAACTGATCCGAATGTCCTTTGGAATCCTTGTTTGATCGTTAAAAGCTGCTTCTTTTTCATTTATAGAGAGTAGACTTTCACTTCTTCAGTCTCTTAGCTGAGTTTTTCGGCCAGCCGCCATGGCGATTGGGGCGTGGATTTTGATTGCTTTGATGAGCATTTGGTGCGTGGAATCAAAGTACATGGTTTACAATACGACATCGAAGATAGTTCCTGGGAAACTCAATGTTCATTTGGTTGCTCATTCGCATGATGATGTTGGTTGGTTGAAAACTGTAGATCAGTACTATGTCGGCTCCAATAATTCCATTCAGGTCTTTTTCTAGTTATCCCTTTTTTAGAAAAAAAAACATTTGTGAGATTTATTGGTCAAGTTTTGATTTTTTTTTCTTTTTAATTGATACTATTTGCAGGGAGCTTGTGTTCAGAATGTTTTGGATTCTATAGTGCCGGCATTATTAGCTGACAAGAACAGGAAGTTCATTTATGTTGAACAGGCAACTATTTTTTTTATTTTTTTTTGAAGCCCCATATAGTTTGGATTTGAAAATTGAAAATAATGGAAATTGTTTGGTCTGTGATTGATATTACAGGCATTTTTCCAGCGATGGTGGAGAGACCAGAGTGAGACAGTTCAAGAGACAGTAAAGCAGCTCATCAACTCCGGTCAACTAGAGTTAATGTAAAGGAATAGGCCCAAATTTGCTTAAGATTTTTGTCATCAGTTCTGGGTTTGCATTTTATCTTTTAGAAGGAAATTGTGGGACATTTGATAATTGACTTGCAGAAATGGAGGCATGTGCATGCATGATGAAGCTACCTCACATTACATCGACATGATCGATCAAACAACTCTTGGACATCGATTTATTAAACAGGAGTTTAATTTGACCCCAAGGATTGGTTGGCAAATTGATCCCTTTGGACATTCTGCGGTGCAGGCTTACTTGTTGAGTGCAGAGGTATGGCATCCAGTCTTGTGGTCACTCATAATGTTAACCACTTGTCCGGTGGAAACTATTTTGGTCCATCTCAATTAGACAATACTTTGTTAGTACAACTCAGTTGCCCTCCATCCATTATCTAACAATCTGCTAAGTACAAGATTGTTTGCTGGCTTAGGTTGGATTTGATTCACTTTTCTTTGCGCGAATTGACTACCAAGACAGAGCTAAAAGGAAAGATGAGAAGAGCCTTGAAGTTGTTTGGCGGGGATCTAAGAGTCTTGGCTCATCAGCACAGGTGGGTGGATAGTGTAATTAGGTTCATTCAGATGTTAAGGATTGGTGAGATTGCTGTTTTCTATCTTGTTAAGTTCTCTAAGTGAATCAATTAATTTTCTTTAGATATTTGCTGGTGCATTCCCTGAAAATTATGAGCCTCCCAGTAATTTCTACTATGAAGTTAATGATGATTCCCCAATTGTCCAGGTAAATTCTTTGTTAGACATTACAACGAGCTCTTACTTCATATGTTTGTACAAAATGAAATCTTATTTTATTGTCTTCACTTGAAGGATAACATGGAGTTGTTTGACTACAATGTCCCTGAGCGTGTGAATGAGTTTGTAGCAGCTGCATTATCTCAGGTAAGATGCCTTGTATTAGTTGATATCTCAAGCTTACTGATTCAAATTACACTGGCATGGCATGCCTTTATGACTTCTGCTGCAGCTTCAGCTTCATTTGGACAGCTTCCTGTCTGAAATATCTGTAATTTCCCAGTCTCAAATAGGCATCAGAACAATTTTTTGTGAATTTTCTTGGTTGACGAAGATACAAGATTATCTTGTTCAACTGTAATCCATTTTCCCCTTTTTAATGAAAATTACTCTACGCAGTTGGTTTTGGTAGAGGCTGTTGCTAGCCTTTGTGGATATTTTAGAATCAAGATCCTAATTATGAAGGACTTTTGCAATTTCTTGTTGGCACTGCTGCCTTTAGTTGTATTAGAAAAGGTTGACGCTTTAACCTAAAATTTATTGTCTTTTTCAGGCTAACATAACTCGCACAAATCATGTAATGTGGACTATGGGAACAGATTTCAAGTATCAATATGCACACACATGGTTCCGGCAAATGGACAAGTTCATTCATTATGTTAATCAGGTTAGTATTCTCCAAGACCTTTGTTATGCTTATTTATTCTTTTAGTCTCCTGCATTTTCTGCCCTGTTGATTCAGCATTCTTGCTGCTGCTTAAAGTTGACTAGTTATGTTACAACATGCAGCAACAAATTTTCAATCTGTTACCTGGTCAAAATTTACAAAATACACATGATTGTATTTAGTTGACACCAACTTGGAAATACACTAGATAAACTTCCTCATAATTGAAACAGAGAACTATGAATGCCTTGATGCCTGGATCAACACCCTCAGGCCTCAACCCCCAACAAAAAGAATGATGTGATTAACAAGAATCAATCTGACTTGTCTTTTCTTGTTTCATCAGATAGAATCATGAATGTGATAATGTCTTTTAGGTGCATGATTTTGAATCTGCTCATGTTATGTGAATAATCCTCACTTTAACATCAATATCCTAGTGTTTTTTCCTTGCAAAAAGACTGTTGATTTCTAATGCTTATAGGATGGCCGTGTGAATGCCCTATATTCAACCCCATCAATATACACTGATGCAAAATATGCAACAAATGAGGCTTGGCCACTGAAGACCGATGACTACTTTCCGTGAGTTTAAATTTTTGAAGTTAAAATTTGTCTATGTAGGAGATTTTGCTTTGGTCATGTAACCCACATTCAGAACTAATACATGCAATTATCAGATATGCAGACCGTATAAATGCATACTGGACTGGATACTTTACGAGCAGGCCAGGTCTCAAAGGTTATGTTAGAACAATGAGTAGCTACTATTTGGTAAGACATCTCTCTTGTTTAACTGGTATAAAATGTCGTATATGTCTTGTGATGTCATTTTAACTCAGTTTCTTATTCATAAACAACAGGCAGCAAGACAATTAGAATTTTTTAAGGGAAGAAGTAAAGTGAGACCCAACACTGACTATTTAGCTGATGCTTTAGCACTTGCTCAACATCATGATGGACTTACTGGCACTTCAAAGCAGCATGTGGCTAATGATTATGCAAAAAGACTATCCATTGGCTATGAAGAGGTAAAGTTCTTATGTCATTTATTATCCAATTAATGCTTCAGAGGCTCAAGCTCGTTGTGATTCTCATGTCACAATGGTTCTTGCAGGCTAAAAAGGTGGTTGAAACATCGCTTGCCTCTATAACAAGTTCCTCTTCAAAGACTGATAGTGGGAGCCCAGTGACTAAGTTTCAGCAGGCAATAGCACGACTATTTAGACTTATCCAATTGGCTTGTTTTACATGGTCAAGGCTAGCTAGTTGAATTTAATGAACTTAATCTCCTTTTTTTCATTTTTCTTTTTCTACTCTGAGCTTTTAAGTGATATTTTTGCTGCTTACAATTTGGTAATAACAGAGTTTGAGATACATGAGCTTGGCTAATGCCTTTCCCCTCTGTCTAAGCCTAAAAAAAGAATAGCATTTCTTCCTATTAGTAATTAACTTTCTCCAAACATATTGATTTTTGGAATTTTATATGCTCCATAATTGGAATTGCATGTGCCTATATGTGCAGTAATACAAATACTTAAAAGTGACCTGTGAAACTCTAAATTTTCATTAGCAGATTTATCCTTTTTTATCTTACTAATAGTTGATGCTATAGTTTGAAAGAGAAAAAACATGAATTTGAAGCTCTGATCTTTTCAGTCAAAAAGAAAAGCTCTGATCTTTGGTTTCAAATATTTAAGAATATTTACTTTATACAGAGGTTCTTGTAGCACATTTTAATGCTATTATTAGTAGATTTGATTGGATATATTTTCCTGGAAGTTCCTATACTGATTTACAGCTTCAAGTAGCAGTTTAGAGGTATAATGAACTTGGATAAAGAAAGCAAATAGTTATTTCAAACTGACAGTTCAATGCCTTTTTAATCATATTTCATTGTCAGTAAAATCTTATCTTGACAAACCCCTAGTGGAATTCGTAAGCTCTTTTTTTTTTTTTTAAATAAAACCTTTTGCTGATAAGTTCCTATTTTATTGGAGTTTTTCATTTGCCTTAAGTTTGAGTCTACTGATTCTGAATTTATCCTTTTCAGTGTTTGCTTCTGAACATAAGTTATTGTCCTGCGTCAGAGGTTGATCTGTCAAATGGAAAAAATCTGGTAAAGAAACTAGCATTTGACATTTCATTTATTTTCCATTAATTATGACAAGATTAATCTAACTCCACTTATATTATTCTCTATTGGTGTATTCCTCTCTCAGGTGGTTGTTGTCTACAATCCTTTGGGATGGAAAAGAGAGGACGTTATAAGAATTCCTGTTAGTATATAGTTTTCTTAATGCTATGACCTTTACTTTTTGTCTTTTGATGTTGCACGTTTTTCCCTGATCCCACTTTACTCTTATACAAAAAAGAGTGTACATCTGCACGTACACAAATTCTTCTTTTCTGGTATGGTTATGAAACTATGAATGCTCAATGCATAAACTGAGACATTTACTACTGACATTCATGCATGCATTACTTCTCAGGAGAGGAAATTTATTGCCTTTCTTGGGGGCTTGTGTTTTGTCTTTTCGTTATTATTATTTTTATATAATTACTCTTTTGTGTGCAACCCGTTATGTGGTTGTGTTGGTTGGGAAAGATGAGAGTTTAATCTTCAATCTTTATGAAAGATGAACAACCTTGTACGTATTTTGCTTAGTCCTTGTGTTGTTTATGAAATG